TTGGAATTTGTTTAAAATGCCCTGGACCCTGCCTCAGGCCTACTGAGTCAGAAGTTCTGGAGGTGGAGCCCAGTACTTTGTGGTAAAACAAACCCTCCTGATGATTCTAATGTACACAAAGGTTTGAGAACCACTGATATAGTTCATTGTTTCTCAACATTGACATTATGGACATCTTAGACAGTTTTTGTTGTTGGAGATTGTAGGGTATTGTGGGATGTTTAAGATACCTGTAGCTATTGAACACATTCCCCTGCCCCACAATTATGACAACCAAAAATGTCTCTAGACATGACTACATGTCCCTCAGGAGGGGCAGAATTGACTTCGATTGAAAACCACCCTTGTAATTCTTCACTACCATAGCATGGCTAAGAATGTTTTTTAAATCAAGTAACGAGGTTTTCCCGCCTTCTTGATTGTCCATAAAGGAAATGAACAGATTTGTAATTTTAAAAATTAGGGTATTTTTTGGTTCTAGAAGAAACTGCTTGTTCAACCTTGAATTTAGGTTTTGGTGGAGGTGATATTCACTCCTATAAGTAACTTGGTAGCTCATCCTCTCTTTTTAACTCTGCACATAGGGCTTGGACTGTGGGCCTGAGAGTAGCAAGAAGTATGCTGAGGCTGTTGCTCGGGCTAAGCAGATTGTGTGGAATGGACCTGTGGGTGTATTTGAATGGGAAGCTTTTTCCCGTGGAACCAAAGCCCTCATGGACGAGGTGGTGAAAGCCACATCCAGGGGCTGCATCACCATCATAGGTAAGGGGTCTTAACATATACTTATATGAGCTGGCCAAATTCTAATCTGAGAAAAGTAGAATGGAAGTGATTGACTTTTCCTAGGTTTGTTGGCACTAGTGAACACATGTAATTTTGTTGAGAACACATATAATTTACCTCTTGATGAGGTGGAGTTGGGGATTTATCAACTGTCTTTTGGACTCGAGAACACACTACCTGTTTTGGTGACATTCCTTTTTATCTGTTCTCTCTTTTTCACTCGGATTTCATTCATCAGGTGGTGGAGACACCGCTACTTGCTGTGCCAAATGGAACACAGAGGATAAAGTCAGCCATGTGAGCACTGGAGGTGGAGCCAGTTTAGAGCTCCTAGAAGGTGAGGCTCTTCCCTATTTTTCAGCTTATTTGGAGGAAGGAAGGGGCTGTGTCATCAGAGGTGGGTAGAATGGAGCAGAAGCAGTCATTATGGTCAGTACAAATGGAGAAACTACAAATAAAGCTCCTGGCAACCATTTGAGATGGGCAGGGACAGATAAGAATAACTCTCAGAGGTTATGCTCTAGTAGACTTATGACCCAAAGTGCAAAAGTTAACCGAACTCGTGGCCATATATCCTAAAGACGAGCTGACATGTTAATGGGAAGTGGAAGGGGGCAGATCCGGCTTAGTGGGCCCTGTAGTAATGCTATCTCTGTGTGCTTTCTCAAAAACAGGTAAAGTCCTTCCTGGGGTGGATGCTCTCAGCAGTGTTTAGTACTTTCCTGCCTTTGGGTTCCTGTGCACAGCCACTAGGTCAACTCAGTGCTTTCTGCATCTCCACTTGGCATTAACTAAAATCATCCCCCTGTTACAAGACTGAGCTAGTGGCCAAGAGATGCAGCACGAGGAACCCTTAAACAGTGGCATCTCAGCTCATCTTTACTGAACCTTGGATTTACCTACATTCTTCAAGATCCCTTTTGAATCTCTAATTTGTTGTGTAGAGTACGTATATTTATATTTTGCTTGTTAAAGGAAAGTGAGCTGTGTTAACTTAGTTCTCGTTTTTGAAGTAGTTTATTCTGATTAGCGTTGTCACTGTTTCACCACGCAGCATGGAAACAAGATGAAATTCTAGTTGTAGAGAAGGAGGGATCTGAGGTTGGTGATCTAGTAAATAAAATTATCCATTGAAACTGAGGTCTTTTTTCCTGTCATACTTTGTTGGGTGAGAACAGAATCTTGAAAAAGGGCTGTCACCTGCATTTCTGAATGTAAGAAAAGGGGCAGCAGCACTCGGGGGTGGGTAGGGAATTACTAGCTGTCTACTGATGGTATTGAGGCCCTACTTTAGGGCAGACATTGTGATTGGTGCTTTGTTTTTAATTTTGTTTTTATCAGTTACACATGACTAATCAAGGTTTGTAACAAAAAGATAGGCCTCCATCCATTCCTGCCATTTTGTGATTCTCTTCAGAGGTGACCATTTTTTCTGGTATTTTCTTCATGTCACTAACACACTTACATCGTTACCTTCTGGATGTTTTAAAAAAGATAATAGTTTCATATGTGGGGAGATTTAGCTACTTTCACTTTATCATATTTCTAGATTAGATAAAGTCTACATTGTGATAATAATTTAGTCACAGCTAAATGGTTACATGTTATATTTAAGTATTTTAATTTGGAGTTAATGTTTTAAGTTTTCTTTTTTTCGAAGGACTACTACTGGTTCATTCCTTTATGAACATACATGAGGCAAATTTGTTTGTATTTACTGGGGCAGCCCTGCTGGGGCCCTCTGCTCCCGCTGCAGGTTGTCCTGTTGCCCTGCAGGTTTGCTCTGCAGCGCTTGCTCTAGGGCTTCCTCGACCCAGGGGAGTCCTTCTACTAACGCTGGGGATTCTTTTACATCTTGTGATGGCTCACTTTTCTGGACCCTTTTACTTCTTCCTTAACTTTCTCTCCTTTTTGTGAAACTCAAGACCTGACTAGCTGCTTGAGAAAGAGTGCCTATAAGGCAAATTTTTTGACTTTGTTTCTGAAATACCTTTCTTTAGCCCTTACACTTGTCTCTTTTGCTATGAGCAGACTTCCAGCCTACCTATCATTTTTTAGACTTGAAGGATTTGTTTCATTTCACTGTTGAAAATCTAATGACATTTTTAATTTTCCCTTACATTCTCTTTCCTGCCATTTTTAAAAAAGATTACTTATTTATTTATGCGTACAGAACTGGGGTACAAGCCAGAGGTGCAGGTGCAGTGAGAGGATTCACCAGAGACAGAGTGGGGAGCAGAACAGGCAGATCAATGAAGTACACTGCTGAGGGGAGCAGCAGGCGAGACACGAGAGGTCTGCCGCGCCATATGGATCACCTCCAGGGCAGGGGATCGAACTTAGACTGAAGTGGCTGAGGCTAGCTTGCAGTGTTGTGTCCTAACCTGTTGTGTCACCTGGGAGGGCCCTTTCCTGCCATTTTAATGGGGTTCAGGAGTGAGCAGACGTAAACATGCGATTTCAGTAGACCATATGGAACCAAAATTTCTGTGCTGGGCATTTTTTTACTTAAAGGCATTTTACCTTTATGGATGAAGAAATAATTAAACTTTTGGGCAGGATCACAAGCTAGTAAGTGACAACAAGGATTCAAGCCCAGGTTTGTATTACTCAGTAGGCTGGGGTGGTAGTACCTTTTCATTGTGCCTCACTCCCTGCAATTATACTTGTAGACTAGGACTTTGTTTAATTATGAAGAGACCAGCAAAAGAAAATTTTGGTAGCAACTTGAAATAGACAAAAAATAATTGAAGTCTTAAACTTTCTCTTAAAAATTCATTTTGTTCAATAACACATACACATTCATTTTCTATTTTAATTAATCTCCATATTTGTTGTAAATAAAAAAATTGAAATGTATCATGTTTCTTGCACAATTCTAAATGGCATCCTGTACCCTGGTTTGGGAAGTAGGAATTCTGATCTTTTGTGATTAGGCCCAGAGAGGCTACCCGTAGACCCACCAAATTAATGTCACAGCTTAGCTAGTACTTTAGCATACTGAGGACTTTTCTGCCTACTTAACCTTCCTCAACATTTAACTGTATCAAATGTGGTACAGAGGAACTGAAAGAATTGTAAACACCCATAACCTAGCACTTTCTCTACAACTTCCAATTCATCCATCTTTCAGTTCCTGATTGTACCTGAGTGTTTCCAGAGTGTTGCCCCATGTTTGGGTCATTTATGTCCAATACCTCAGCAATAGGGCCTCTATGGTGATTCAGATGTTAAAGTCTCAGCACTATTGCCAGCCACTGTGGCATGAGTTTGACTCCCTGCCAGGGAGGGGGATCCACATGTTGAAGCAGACCTCTCCTGTCTCACCTGCTGCTCCCCTCAGCAGTGTATTTCAGTAGATCCACCTATTCTGTTCCCTACTGTCTCTGGTGAATCCTCTTAACCCCTGTACCTCTGGCCTATACTCTAATTCTTGTATGCATAAATAAAAACTTAAAAAACTCAAAACCTCTAACAATTAAAAGTCAAAATGGGGTGCATAATGAGAAGACTCTTCTATCTCAGTGCGCCATCTACCAGTTTCAGCCTTCAAAGAAACAGTCTTAAGATCAGTTTCCTTCATTCTAGAGCTACTGAACACATAGAAAAAGCATATGTATATGTATATATACATATAAATATATTAAAAGTATATATGGCGATATGCTATATATAGTTCTGTGCCTGCTTTTTTGTTTTTTCTTTCCTACCTCTTGAGTACTTCCCCTTCATTCTAGATTCCTTAGACCATAGTGTACATTGTATTTTCCATCTTCTGCCCCTGCTGCCTCTATTTCTATATTCATACTCAGATTAAACACTTTTCTTCCTACTTGAAAAGGGAAGAACTTTGGACAATAATGTCTTTACAACAGTCACCATCAGTAGATCTTTAAAAAATTTCCACCTAGAAGTTAGGCAATAAGAGCTTACTTAAGCTCTAGTTGAAACTAGATAAATCAGTCTTTATCTGAAACCCAAATGCAAAAGCACCAAAGAACTGATCTAATACATGAATGAACAGCTTTCAGCCTCGTTTATGTACAGAGTCAAACCAAAGATGCCATTTTTAAAAAACAGATTTAAACCTACATTTCATTCTGCTTCACTATCTTGAAGTTACATGCTGGTTCCAAATAAAAGCAAGTGATTCCCTGATTTATGATCAATTCATTACTTAATCTTTATTATTTTTTGGGCCTCAGAATTATCAGGCCTTTTTCATCTACCTTGAATCTCTAAATCAATAATGAAAGGTAAAGGATGAGTTGAAATTTTTATTAATAACCATGAAACAAATACATTAATAATTCCTTAGAGATCTATAGCATTTTACAATTTTGAAAGATTTCACATATACCAATTATACCCTCACAACAACCATGTGAAGTAGGCAGAGTTGGTATTATTTTTCTATTATTAGTGAGTACAAGGCTCAGAGGTGAAGTAAGGTCACACAGTTGGTAGATGGAGCTAGAACTACAACCTACAAGCTGCTTCCCTGAGAACATTCAAGTAATGATATCCTGTGCTGTATAATGAACACTTAACCTCCAATGATCATCAGATCTATTTAAAAGTTCGATATCATCTTTTTTTTCTAATAATCCAACACAGTGAAAGTGCAATGAGACATTTCTTTCCTGTTATTGGTATATATATACCTCTGATGTATTTAAGCACCATCCTATGATGAAACTTGAATCTTTGAGGATCCTTGTCTGTAAGTTCAAAGTTATGGTATGAAAATATATTTTAGAAAATTCTGCAGAAGTATTCCTATGTTGAATGTCCCTTACTTAAAAACATCACAAATCTGCTTGTATTTTAAAAACTTTGCAATCTTTGCCAATAAAATGTTTAGATGTACATAGATGGAAAATAGGGGAAGGGTTTTAGCAATATTCCAATATTACTGGGAAACTTAGGCAGAATGTACGAGGGTACTTAAATGCTAGTCACGTAACACTAATTTGTTTTCCTTACTGGCAGCCCAGAGAAAGGAAAACCATTAGGAACACTTTCAGGGTTGATCCCAGCTCAATGTGTGACATCCTCAGACGACCTGATTTATATCCATAGGAGGGTGCAAGCAGTAGTGGTCAGAGCATATGTGCACGTGGTAAAAATGGAAAAAAGACTTTCTCTTCAGTGGTTTTGCCTAGGTCCAGTGTAAACATACTTATCAAGGCAGACTTTAAGCTTATGGCATTTTCTATGTAAATTCAGAAATGTGAAATAAGGGGAGTCACAAACCTGGGATATAAAACAAACAAGGTAACTGACCCCCAAACTACCTATTAGAGTAAAGCTCAATGGGCGAAAGAGGCAAGGCCAACTGCTCTGATACAGAAAGAAAAACAAAGCAAATGCACGTTAAAGTGAATCAAAACAAGCATTTTTAAAGCAGGTTTCAAAAATAAGAACATGACACTTTTTTAAAAAAATTCTAATTTTGGCCTTTTAAACTTAAGTGGAGAAACTTTAGTCTGCGGAAATGCAGAAAACGCATAGGACCTTGATAGTGGATTAGGATTAGGTAGGAGGGAAATTAAGGGAATACCAAGAAACTTAAATATATCCACAATGGATTTAGAATCCCTGTAAGTCTATCTTCTCCAAAACTGTTTCCTAAATTTGAGAGACTTGGTCCAAAATGTTGGTGACAATAAAAGTGACTATTTCACTTAAAAAAATAAATATAGTTTAAGAAACACTGTGAAAGATTAGTCCACTTGTGAGTCTGTAGAATCTGAAACTTAAGTGCTTGCTGTTAGTGATACATAGCAGAAAACTGTTTCCAAAAATAGAATTGCCACAGTAGCATTCAACATTTAGTCAAACTATTACGAGAGAAGTATTTTTTATACTTGAAGCCTAATGAAAAAACATTGGTACTCTTAATTAAGAAATCTAAGAGTTTTAACCATGAAGAAAAATACTGCAGCTACATTTACCTTTTCTAAAATGAAACAAGATCTAGGATGTTCTTATTCAGTATACAAGGCTCAAAACCAACTACACATTTGAAATGCATCAATACTAGACTATATTCCTTACATAGTATCATTGTCATCATCGTCTTCGTGTTTTCTCTTCAATGGGTTTAATTCATTGCTCGTGTTCTGTGATGAAACCATGTTGGTGGTAATAAGAATATTTTTGGGCCCAATCATGGAAGGATTAATCAGAACATTTTGAACTGCAGTTGTTGTAGGAACTGTAAATAGAGAAGAAAACAACCCAAACTATGAATTAGAATAAAAAACATAGTAAGTATGCAATAAAACTAAATGTAACACTAATAAATTCAGTATATCACAGAAGCTCAGGCAATTTACACTGCATCAAAGAGTTAATTTTTTAACATCTTTTATGTACTTAATACCTGGTATACAGTTGAAGTTCTGTTTCCTAATTTACCTACTACCACTTAATCGGTTAGTCATGGAATCAGTGCACTGGATTCACCAGAAAACACTCTAAAGGTACATGTTTAAGACCAGGAATCGAGCTTCCCTGATGGCTGGTGTTTTCTATAAGTTCTTTAATGTGTATGGTTAGGTTTCAGAAGATAGAAAACCTAAATGTATTAATACCATGTTTTAACTTATCCCTAATTTTCTATGCACTTAGTGCCTTTCCCTAAGAAAGTCTTGGAGCTATGGGCACTTATTTTAATTCACAGTGTTCTTTGGGAATCTGATGGATCATACCGGATACTCTCTCCTCTATGAAAATGTTATGTACATATAGAGAATTTCATAATTTTAGGCCCTTTAAGAAACCTGATTTGTAGCATTACTCTCACCATCCCATTATATTAAAAACTTTTGCTGTAGCAACAAATTGTAACTTTCTAAATTTCAAATGAACCACTTACCCTCCCCCACCCCGCCAGCCAATCACATTACCTGACTTGACAGGTGTGGACTGAGAAGGTGGAATCTGTACTGTAAATCTTTGGCTTGTCACTGACACTGGAGTTGCAGCTTTATTTGGGACAGATGCTGTTTGTGGGGTTGCTGTAGTTAAAATTGACAAACCATGTTATAGTTAAGATGGCTTTTATAGGCTTATATTCTGCATTAGTTTACCAGAAAATACCCTTCAAAATGCAGGGAATTGATGAAAAGTGGGAAAAGAATTTGAAGAGCAAATAACTTCAAAGCTTTCCAAGCTCAACAGTTTAGATGCTTAAGATTCAGGACAGTGGAAAGAATATCAGCTCTGGAGCCTATCTGTTTGAGTTTGATTCAGGCATTATCGCCTACTAGCTGAGTGTCTGTGCAAGTTACTGAAGTTTTTTTTTTTTTTTTAAACCTTGTTTTATCATCTATCAATTGGGGATAACTACTTACTACATACAATTCTTAAGAGAACTAAAACAATCTGCAAAGCTTTTCAAACACTGCCTGGCACTGTTTTAGGCAAACTAGCAGAAACCCACCAAGTTTTAGGTGGCACTTTTAATCTCTAACACTTGCTGAGAATTAGAAGATGTCTGTTATGTCATAAAGCTAAATCAACATTGGACAGAAAGGCCTATGAGACCTTTGGGGCCCCCAGTGTAGACATGAAAATCATTCCTTTTCTGTATCCAAAGACTTTTTTTAAGCAGAAAGGGCTTTTGGAGATAATCTAACACCTACTCCCTCCCCCCATCTAAATTCTACCCATTGTTCCAAGGTACAACTCAAAATATCACCCCATTATATAAAACTTTATGATTTGCTCATAAGTCATTGTCTTCCCCTGTCCCTTAACACATCACGGCAGTCTTAGTATCTTAGCTCATTCACTAAATTATAAGCCTTGGCTGACATTTTTTATCCCTGTGAGCATATATGGCTTTTGTTCATTGCTCCTGACAAGCACTAAGAAATGTTTATGAATGAATTTTGCAAGGTTTAAGACTTAATAGCTTTCTCAAAAATACATTTATGGAATAGGTCTGTTCTCTTAGTTTTTTCCTTTGGGAATGCAGGCTTTCATGTATCCCATTCCCTGTAGCCAACAGTCTACTCAGGGAAAGTTACTGAAAAAAAAAAAAAAAAAACAAAGGAAAGGAAAGCCTAAATAGGTGAGGAAAACACAAATTCATGGGTTCTAGCACTATTTCTTTTTTGCATAGAAAGACTAGGGTGTATGTCAAAGGTGAAGGTGAGAGGATTCACTTGAGAGTGGGGAGCAGAACACACAGAATTACTGAAATATATTCCAAGGGGATCAGCAGGCCAGAGGAGATTGAATTCAGGCCATAGTGGTGATAACACTGAGAATTAACCCCTACGCCACCAGGGAGGCACCCTAGTGCTATTTCTCCCAAATCCAGGAAATTATTCGAGACTTCACTCTAAACATATTTCCATCTGTAGGCAGGTCTTCGGATGTATTTAAAAGTAGCTGTCCAAAGAGTTTGGTGAAGCTTAATGAAGCAATAGGAGTATGTTGTCAAAAGAAAAACAAAGGTAGTGTTTTCTTGGTCATAACCTTTGCATCTAAACAGGTATGGAATTGAGGCTTTAAAACTGAGCAGAGCCCTCTGCTCCTCCCGCAAGCCCCTAAGACACCATGGTGAAGGTCAGAGTGAAGAGATTTGGCCAGGTTGAGTGCCTGGTCATCCAGGGCTGCTTTTAACTTTGACAAAGTGAGTACTGTTGCCATCAGTGCCCCTTCAATTGAACTCAACTACATGACTCCAGTATGACTCCATCCATGGCCAAGTTTAATGGCACAGCCAAGACAGAACAGGAAGCTTGTCATCAACAGGATGTCCCATTTCCCATCTTCCAGGAGTGAGATCCTGCCAGTATCAAAAGGGGGGATGCTGTAGAGGCTACTAGTGTCTTTATTACCTTGGAAAAGGCTGGGGCTCACTTGAAGGGTAGGGCCAAACAGGTCATCGTCTCTTCCTCTTTCTGTTGAGTCCCCCATGTTTGTGGTAGGTATGAGCTATAAGAAGTAAGCTGACTCCCTCAAGATTGTCAGTAATGCCTACTTTACCAACAGCTGTTTGCCTCCCCTCCTCGGCCCATGGCATCCATGACTTTGACATCCCGGAAGTACTAAAGCTATCACTCCCTCCAAGACGACTATGGATGGCCAATCTGGGAGCTACAGTGTGATGGCTCATTACATCGTCTATGCTTTTACTGGCACTGCCAGTCTGTGCGTCTCATTCTCTGAGCTGAATGAGAAGTTGACTGTCATGGCCTTCCGTGCTCCTACCACCAACATGCTGGGTGTATATCTGACCTGCTGCTTGGATTTAAAATGCTGAAATGTAAATTCATCTCCTGAGAATTCTATGAAGAGACTGTCTACATACCTCAAAAATCAAAAGCTGCTTACACTAGGGCTATATAACTAACCTCTAGGACTTAATTTATTAGCAGTAAGAGCTGAGAAATCAATACAAGAGGAGGGGATTTTTTAAAACTAACTTTGACTATAAAAGAAGTCCAGCAGGAATGAGAATGAAAAAATTCAGGCAATCTAAATTTGTTATTTTTGTTTTCCTTATTTAAACAATGGCATTAGAAACAACAAATAATGGTTTCTAAAGAGTGTTTTCCATTTAAAAGGATGCAGCAGGGCTTTTTGAAGAAATGTCTGATTCTGTGACTTGGGTAAGGAAAAAACACGATGAGCTTAGAACATCTTATGCCAGAAAGTAAGAAACACTCAAATTGGACACAGGAGACAGCCTAAAGGAGCTTGCACTGACCAATACAGGACTATCAGTACTACTTTTAAAAAGCTGGCTTTTCCTCTGATACCTTTAACTAAGCATTTTGTACATTTTAATCTTCATTTTTACTGCATTTTCTTGACAGTTTACTCAGAAATTAGTTTCTGATAAATAAGTAGGCAACTTTATTTGTATGGCAGGCAAAAGCACAGTTTAAACTTGTTATTGGAAGCATAGTTTATACTAACAACAATATTGTGCAATGTCCAATTTTGTATTCATTTACAACCAGATTATGTCAGTGGCTTTCTCATTTTGAAATCTGATAAAACATGCTTTTAATTTTACTAGATATGTAAATATTTCCATGGCAACACATAAATGGGAATTTCTGATTCATCTTTTAATTTGGAATACAGTTCAAAATCAAGTGCTATACAATGTACTTTTTAATTAGGCAGAAAAGCCTTTTTCCCTTCTTACCTATAGTGGGAGTAGTAGGTCTGCTACTAACAGCACCAACACTTAACCTTGGAACTAGTCTTCCTTGGTTAGGTCCCTAGGGGATTTAAAAAAAAATTAGATTCAATGTTTTAATTGGACACCAGAATAAAGTTAGGATTGTTGATGTGAAATATTAATGGATAATACATGGCAAGACTGTCAGTACTTCCCCTGCCTCCAGTTTTATTAAGAAATTGTTAACATACATCATCATATAAGCTTCTGATATACAGCATAAACTAATTTACATATATTGTGAAATGACTGCCACAATAGGGTCAGCTAACATCTATCTTCTCACATAGACATAGTTATACCTGTTCTAAAGTCAATGTTTAAACTAAGGTTTTCATAAGCAACTGTATCTATATAAACATGAATGTGAATATATATATTCTATATAGTATTTAAGGTTAAGGTAAAATCCTATTTGGGGATGGCAGTTTGCCTTATGATTTTTTAATCTTTACTAGTCAATATCTTACCCTAAAAAGTAATTATTTTATAATAGAATTTCTTTTATAATAGAAATAATAGAATACTAGAAATTCTTTTATAATAGGATTTCAGACAATAAAGAAAGCCCAATGTGGGGAGAGCTTTTATAGTGGTGGGAGAACCTTAGGTAATATTTCAGAAACAAGTCCAATTCCCCGTAGTATATAACTTATTCTGTTACTGAACTTCACTAAAAAACTCTGGTATAGTGGAAGAACTAGGAATTATAAAACCTGATAATTGGCCCTAGCTTTGACACATACTGTAGATGAATTTAGATTCGGTTTCCTGATGTGAAATATAAGTGGTGGTTAGATGAACATTAAGTTCTTTGGCTCTAAAAACCTCTGATTTAGTATTTTGTATTTTAACATATTAGGTAATTGGAGATGTGATATTTTCAAGACAATACCTTTAAAAAATCGATTAAATCATGTTAGCCTTTAATCTATGACACCATCTATAAGGAATTTGTTTTCTATGTATTTCCCTAAAACATTTCACCTTTTTAAAACGTGAAACTAAGAATTCTTACCTTTTTAATTAAGGATTTCAGCCTATAGTTTGGAGCTGTTAAGCAGTATCTGTCAGGTGGCAGTCTGGGTCCTGCATATGGCTTAATCAGTGGCAAAGGGGTTTGATTTTTTTGTCTTGCAATATCCAGCAAAAACTAAAAAACAAACAAACAAAAAACAAAAACAAAATCATTATAACTACAATAGAAAAAATTAGAAGTAAAATCAACTTCAAATAAAAGTTTGCTCACATCTCTAGGAGGAGGAGAGGTGAAAGATTGGTCAGCACGACATTGGATGGCCAGTCTCACATCATCTGCATCAACATTAGGTTTCTTGGCATGGCTTGAATAAATTTTTGCATCATCCAGAATTGTAGTCACATATCCTTTAAAAACAAAACATTTTTTTCTTTAAAAATATGAAAACAGCTTAATACTTGTAGGGCATTTTTATTAATGAAAGGTTTCACTAATTTCTAGAAACTGGATTCCGGTTCTAATATTTAATTGCCCGATCTTTGACATTAATCTTAAACATATCACAGTAATATTACTACTGGTACTCTAGTTTGAGCTTCTTTTTAGTGCTTTAGGCTAAATTCTATGTTAACTGTTACAGTAATTTGCTTGAAAATGTTCTTAAAATGATGGTTTCATAGTTACAAGTTAGGCAAATTTTTGGTGTTTCGTTAACTTACGGAAAGCAAATTCCAACATTTGATTTATAACCCTTGGTTCGTACTCTGTAATCCCCATATCCTTCAGGATCTGTGCCATCACCTGTGGATTCAAATAAAAACACCAGATGTGTAATCTAGGTGTTGGAAATTAAGACTTCACCGAAGGCAGTATTTATATTTGTAAGATAAGGTCCTCCTGTGCTCCAAACTCCTATTCATCCTTTTCCTCCCAAAGTACTGTCAGATAACACCAAATCCAGTTCAAATCCAGTTTAAATCCTTATTTGTTGAAATTATTATTATTTTTTTTTGTCGGGGTGGAGGCAAAGTCAAGGAAGAAGGCCCGGGCAGGTTTTTCAGCAGATGTCGGGGAGGCTACAGCTGGCTGTCATTTTCGGATGTGGGCACTGGGGAAGCTAGCATCAGACCGCGGGGCGTGAGAATCAGGTCTCTTAGACCTGGAGAGACAAGGGGGCCGGGGAGACAAAGCCCGACCGCTGGCCTGCGCACTCTGGGCAGTCGCCAGCCTCCCCCTGGCGGGGTTGTCGGGGTGGCGGGAGGGCGCCCCGGGGGCCAGGACACCCCATCTCCCACTTCTTCCGGCCTCGCGCAGAGCTGAAGCAGGCACGCCATCCCATCCTCAAGCCCTTCACCTGGGTCTCCCAGCCAAGTCCCTGGCTGCGCGGAGCTGCTCGCCCCGCCTCTCACCCTTCACACTTACCAACGCGTCTCTCGGAGCGTTCTTGGGAGGCGCCATCTTGCCCGACTCCATGTTATCCCGCGACTCTTCATCCGGGGAGAGAGGGCAGTTCTCGGGCTCCCCGCTCAGGCTCCACCCCTGCGGGGTGCGAAAGGCGGGGCTAATGCGCCAGCCCCGCCTGCCCCTCCTGCCGCCGCTTCCCAGCCGCTCCCCTGCTAGGTGGCGACGGAGGGCAGCGGGGCCAGCCAGCAGGGATCTGGCCAACACTTGAACGGGCGACGAAGCTCGTCTTCCTGAGCTATTCCCCGAAATGAGCACCGAGCGGGCCACTCTCGACTATTCTGGGGCGCCCTTTCACACTTCCTGTGTGCCACCCAGACCACTTCCGTCTCCCTGGGATGCCTACAGTGGCCCTGCTCCCTCCCACCTGCTGTGGTGGGATTGCCCGGTCACCTAACACCCAGTTAGATTTGAATGTCAGATAAAAATCGAGTAAGATTTTTGTGTAAGTCTACCCCAAATGGTATAGCTATAGCTTATATTACGGAGTTATGTGTTGTTGATCTGATACTCAAATTTAACCGGGCTCTTTTTAAGTTTGAAAGCATTTAACTTTATACTTTCATTTGGAAAATCATGTACACGTGTCCCTTTGCCAGGAGGCTCACTATTTGACCTTAAATGTTCAAGGTGATATTTTCTCATTTTGTCCCCCCAGCCGCCATCCCTTTTAATCCGACTGTATTTTTATTTCCGAAATCTGGCTTTCCACACAGCAAGCCTTTGATCAGCTCTCACCACAGAGTCTTGTTCCATTTCATACTGATGAAAAACTGAAGCTTTTGGCGGGTGGAGGCACCCCCACTTTGTCCCTGGGCCATGAACATTTCCCTCTCTCTCCCCACTGTGGCCGCCCTAGACCCTCACTTGCTTCCCTGGTGCCCACCCCACAAAACAGGCTGACAGACTTTCTGAAAACTTACATCAGTTAAGCGTCTCTTACTGAAAATATTCCAACCAGAACTCTTTATTACTCCCCTACAGTCCACCATTTCAGGATAAGGCGCTCTGAGCCAGTCAAGCCGAAGTAGCAGTGAGCCATATTAGACTCTCTTTTCCCAACAGCCCACATCTAGCATCAAGTTCCAAAGTCACAACACGTCTACCAGTGTCTCTGCATTTTCATCCAGTACTACCATATACAGCCTAAGTCAAGAGTCTTACGAAATCACAGATATAGGCTCCCAAAATAGTGCTTCCCAACATTTTTCATACAACCAGAGGGGATCGCTTTTTCATAAATGATATCATTGTACTCCTTTCCTTAAACCCTTCTAATGGCTACACACACATGCACACACACACAATTATACTGCTATCTGGAGCTTAATGAGCTCTTCAGTTTGGTAACCATTTTACCTCATTGCTCTGATCTGAATCGGAGGACCACTGATCAGCCATCTTGATCCTTGGACAAGCTCCCCAAGTACCACGTGTTCTTAATACTCTTTCTAGTAGCAACGCGGTTTCTTCCGGTGCGCAAGCGCCATTCTCTACGCATGGTCCGTAATCTCTACGTAAGTCCAAAAATGAAATTTATACCTTTTGAATAGGTAGTGTATGCATGGAGTACACAATTTTTAATTTATCTTTTCAAAGCATGGAAAAGGAAGTCCCTCAGGTTTGTCTTGGCCTTTCATTTTTCTTTCAAGGAAGGTACCACTGTTTACTTACTAGTGTCTTGTCTGTGCAGTTGATAAATATATCTTCATTACATCTTGTTCCCCCACCAGAATGATAAAATACCGTTGGGGTAACCGTCTTTACAGCACCAACTGTAGAGAGCTGAAACACAGTTGTACTAGATGAAAAGACTTGTAATATATAACGAATAATTGTATACATGTGTGTTACTATACAGTGGGAACAGACCGTCACTTAAAATTATTTTTGTAACAAATGCTGTTATTGAAACAGCAATAGAGCTAATTAACAATTAGTAGTTAATAGAACTAGTTAAATTGTATGGTATAAACATGACTATTTTCATATTTCTGCTATGTCACAGCAATTTAATCCTTGGATAAATAAATTTCTATATTTTTTTCTCTCTAAAGTGTCATAAACTTAAAACAGCTGCTGCTTCCACATTGTTGCTACTACGACATTTTGTGTGTGTGTGTGTTTGATCCAGTCTTGAACTAAAATAATGAGATTTTAGTCACTATTCTGGTGACTCACACTTCTGTTCAAATTAAAATTTCTTTTTCAGTAATTTAAAAACACTTTTGAGAACCGAACATTCCCCCTCACCATTCCTAGCACCCCTTTCATCCCCCCCTTAATCTTTTCTTAGTGTCTACTGGTTTCTACAAGTATATTGCTTCATTGAAACAATTGCTATGCAAATATCTAGCATTTGCGTTTGTCATTTTGACTTGCTTTACTACACATCATTCCCTCAAACTCCTTACATTTTTGCTGTATATGGGAACATTCTGTTTTTCTTCATGTTTGAATAGTATTCCATTGTGTGGACATATTACATCTTTTTGATCCATGCCTCTGTCAGTGGGCACTTGTTTGTTTCCATGTCCTAGCTATTGTAAATAGTGTTGCAACAAACATTGTAGAGCATATAGGCTTTTGAATTGCTGGTTTCATGTTCTTTGGATAGATACCCAAGAGTGGGATTGCTGGGTCATATGGTGTTTCCAGTTTTTGTTATTAAGGTAAATATATATTGCTTTCCAAAATGGCTCCACCAGTTTATGTTCTCAACAGTGTAATAGAATATGTTCATTTTGTAACCTGATAATTTGCTGTATTCATTTATTATTTCTAGTAGCTTTTTGATAGAGTCTTTAGTATTTTCTATATATGATGTGTTTTGAAAATAATGATAAGTTAACTTCTTTTCCAACTTGGATTCCTTTTATTTCCTGTTGTCTGATTGCTCTATTAAAAATCTTATACTCGGGCCCTCCCTGGTGGCACAGCGGGTTAAAGCACAGCACTAAGAAGCTTAAGCCACTTGCGCATGAGTTTGATCCCCGCCTGCCCCGGAGGAGACCACATGGCGTGACAGACCTCTCCTGGCCCGCCCGCTGCTCCCCTCAGCAGTGTATTTCGTCTATCTGCCTGTTCTGCTCCCCATTCTGTCCCTGGTGAATACTCTCACTCTCTGCATCTCTGGCCTGTACCCCAGTTCTGTATGAATAAATAATTCTTTAAAAAAAAATCTTATACTCAAAAAAACCTTTTACTAAAAAAAACCTTATACTAAATTAAATAGAAGTGGTGACAGTGGGTATCCTTATCATGTTCCTGAGTTTTTTCGCTTTCTCCTAAATTTAAGTAATTTAATTGAGCATTAATGTTTAAGACAACACAGTTTAAACAGCATGTTCACTAAAATTTTGGAAGCTTTATGTAACAAGGTAGATAGTATACTGGAGGTCTGGTATTTGGCATACTTACAGGTGGCCTGCTTCAAGATGGAGGAATTACGTTTTGAAAATCACATTTTGTAAATTAAATTTTCAAAAATCTTTCAATACTAAGTATTTTGGCAAGTGTACAGTTACACACAGTAATGAAATCAATATAGTGAGATTAAGAAATTGCAAACGTAAAAGTTGAATCCTAAGCATAAATCATAAGAAAAGGATTACTTTTTTTTTTTTTTAAGATTTACTTATTTAGGCAGACAGAACTAGGGGACAGGCCAGAGGTGCAGGGGCAGTGAGAAGATTCACCCAGACAGAGTGGTGAACAGAACAGGCAGATCGATGAAGTACACTGCTGAGGGGAGCAACCGGCTGGTCAGGAGAGGTCTGCCGTGCCCTGTGGATCACCTTCGGGCCGGGGATGGAACTCAAGCTGAAGTGGCTTCAGCTTCTTAGTGCTGTGCTTTAACCCGCTGCACCACCAGGGAGGGCCGAGATTACTGGTTTTATAGGATTTTCCTGGATAATCAAAACTTAATAGTGTAAGACATAAAATATTACAGAATATCTATTAATAAAAAAACCACGGTCTACTTAAAATTATTCCTATCGAAAGGATGAAAAGTTCAGGGCAGTAAAGTGATAGCACATCAGACAAAGTTTCTGATAGGTAGGAACTTTATTGTGCCCCTGTGTTAGGTTCACGGAACCCCAGGGGGGCTCGGAGAAGTTGTGCCCACTGGGAAACACGGGTCAGCTTTGAGAGGGCATGGAAATTGCTTTGCAGAAACTGATTCATCAATGATGCTTATTAGTATGCCAGCCGGGCAGAGTTGATTCTCAGAATGCAGGCAGTTCCCAGACTTTAGGAGGCTCAAGGTTAGAAGGCTCATGGTAAACAGACTTAACAGTCTCAGATTCAAGGTTACTGCCCCAGCCTTGCCCCGCAGCCTAGACCTTACAAAGGATATCAAAGTTAATTCAAATCATATGGCATTAATACTAAATATTATTCAAATTGCTTAAGTGCAGGTAAATGTTATAGAAACGGGAACTTCTTTATACTGTAAATTGCTGTCTTTCCTGTTCATTTGAAGCAGCATACCACATCTCAGAATTTCATGAAGTAAGAAAAGAATGGCCTTTGCACAGCTTTCCACAGGGTTGCATTAATGTACATTCCCACCAACAGTGTATGAAGGTTTCCTTTTCTTTACATCCTTGATGACACTTGTAGTTTCTGGTCTTTTTGCTAAGGGCTATTCTCACAGGTGCTAGGTTGTATCCCATTGTGGTTTTGATTTGCAACTCCTTGATGAATAGTGATGGTGAGCAAATCTCAGTGTACCTATCCGTCATCTGTATACCTTTGGAGAAATGCATATTAATTCTTCTGTGTATTTTTTTTTAATTTTTATTTATTTATATATGCATACAGAGCTGGGGTAGAGGTCAGAGGTGCAGGGTCAGTGAGATGATTCACCAGAGACAGAGTGGGGAACAGAACAGGCAGATTGACGAAGTACACTGCTGAGGGGAGCAGCAGGTGGGTCAGGAGAGGTCTGCCACACCATGCATATCACCTCCTGGGCGGGGATCGAACTCCTGCTGAAGTGGCTTTAGCTTCTTAGTGCTGTGCTTTAACCCACTGCGCCACTAG